TTCCTGAAGATTCTCATAAAAAAGGATTCCGGAACAACGATGCTATAGCTAGCAGTAGGACTAAATATAAGGTATAGTAAAATTATTGCGGCCCATGAAGATAATTGGGAGGTGTGCTGAACCTGTGATGAGCGCATGCACTGACGCATGCAGCGAAACACCTTTTTAAACCATTCGCGACCGCGCAGGATTGCGCAATAGCAGCAGCGTCAGAAGATTTTTCTTCAATAAAATCCGAGTGAAGGGAGATTTCCTCTGCCCAGGGCTGGCGTAGATGAGCGAGGGTATGAAGATTCTTTCCATGGAAGAAAACTTTCCAAATTCCATTTCAAGCCCTGCAGCCACAGTAATACCATTGTCCCGAGTGAGAGCTTTGTCAGCCACCGGTGGCTGACATTGTCACGAATGGGTTAAAGTCTCGTTATACTGATATTTTTGGAGTAACAACAACTACTAGTGTTCGAATGCGCTTCGTGCTACGACAACGACAATGGCTTCAATATTAAACTCAATGAAGCTTCATAGAAATCCAGGAACAAACTCCAAAATCAAAATTGTGCAAGATTAAGGTTGAGCTTTCGGTGGTCTTCCACTGGACTGATTCATCACAGCTCTTGAGAACCAAGAAAAGAAAGAACTTTCCATCATGATGACGCAGAGCTACACTCGTAAATGACCTCGCAAATGAACAAACTGAGGTACGAATCCTCGCTCCAAGCTGTACTCCTTACACCTTTCCCTCACCAATACACCCCTTTCAAAACACCTCAATAACTTCTTGAGTAAAGATAATCATCATGATGGAAAGTTCTTTCTTTTCTTGGTTCTCAAGAGCTGTGATGAATCAGTCCAGTGGAAGACCACCGAAAGCTCAACCTTAATCTTGCACAATTTTGATTTTGGAGTTTGTTCTCTGGATTTTCTTGAAGCTTCATTGAGGTTTAACTATTGAAGCTCAATTTTCTGTCGTAGACGAAGGCATTCCGAACACTAGTAGTTGTTGTTACTCAAAAAAGGTGGTAACGACACTTTAAAAGGACGGTTTTGCTGCTGCGTCAGTGCATACGCTCATCACAGGTTCGGCACACCTCCCAATTATCTTCATGGGCCGCAATAATTTTACTATACCTTATATTTAGTCCTACTGCTAGCTATAGCATCAGTTGTTCCGGAATCCATCTTTTACGGGAATCTTCAGAAGGCCGTCGTCAACAGCAGAAGCATGCTCATGACTCCCCTCACCTTCACGATGGAATTCTTTGAGACCAAAATGTTGGAGCCAATGCTGTGCTGCGCTTTTATTGGTGCTTCCTTGGCCCCATCCTTCAGTGTTATTTCGACAGGTCTATGCAGCACTACCTCGGAGTTTCAGCACATCAAAATAAACTTGCCCGAAACCACGCTCTTAACACTTTTCAAAACCCCAAGATAGCAAATCATACTATAAGTCAAATACACTAAACGGAAGAAAATGTATAGGCCTGTCAATATATATAGGGCTCAGGTCTTAAAAGAACTTTCCATAAGTTCTTGGTATTCGAATTACATTTTTTAGCTGCGCTGTCATGAACTCAATATAGGTGGGGTTTGCAATTGCTGGAATCTGAAACGCCTGGTATTGCGACGCGTCAGTGGGAGCTGCAATTAGTTTAGACTGAGTAGCTCAAATGAGCGCACGTTTATAGCGCCATTAATCTCACCATTGTTTGCCTCCTGCTGGATTTTAATTGTTCTTTCGTCTTGCTGACATTGTGGCCCTCTATTGTAACCACACAGTTCCAGCTCCTTACCTGTGAAAAACCGCTAACATATTCTTAAATATCGGATTCCTTCTTGACATATTAGAAACCCAAAGCCTCACTCTGGGTTCTATCGCTAGAGGAAAGGAGAAAAAACCACGATGGGCAAAGAAAACATATAAGCATAACCGATTGAAGCTCCAGTGCATTTTTCTGCGAGAGGAAGTGCACAGAGCGCATCCCCCAAGTTGCGCATTAATATTTAATGAACGTAGTGACGTTCTGCACTCTTCGTGTAAACTTTCGATTATTTAAAAAATTATATTCAAAGTAAAATACCGTGCACTTTTGCTTCGCAATCTCATCGCATTATGGCAGATTGCTAACTTTATCATCTAAAACACTTGGGCACATCAACTTGTCAGAACGTTAAACAACCCAATTTTTGACGCAAGTAATATGGCAGGACTTTATCGATCGTATAGCGTTATTTCTGTCCCTTCCGAATGTTCATGACAAACGAACCTAACACCGTACATATTTCAG